CTCGTACCTATCCTCATGTATCCAACGTTAACCTAACCCCCTTTACTCCCTTTACCTGCTTTATCCCCTTATCACCCCCTTTTCCTCCTTTCTACTCGTCCACCCCCCGTCCACCCCCCGTCCACCCCCTCTTCATCCCTCCGAATTGCCACTCTGGGCGATGTGAATTCCGTGAACTAATAACTATTCCTCGATTCATCGATATCGAGTACATACATGTACCTCAGAATTGATAGGGGTAATTGTTATTGTTATTGTTATTATTATTATTTTGAAAACAAAGTGAATGGACAGGGAGAGAAATTAATTATGGTAATGGTTTCATTGGGGAGGTCAGGGTTTTGGTATTGATGGAGTCAGAATTTTTTTTAGATGCGAGTGAAAATTTTTGGAATTGTTTTGACCATCGGGGAGGGGTGGAAAAATTGATAGGGGTAGCAGAGAAAAAACGAATTGATGATTTTATTTCTGGATTCAATTTACAAGTTGCAATTAGCATTAACTTGATGAAATATCGAAAAATAATTTGCATAAATTTTATATATCTCGCAGGAATTTTTTTAATTGGCCTGGATTGACTTTTTATAAATAATTTTTTTGTTCACGGGATAAATTGTTGATCAGTCCATTATGGACTTTTAGAATTTTTGAAAAATCGGCGTAGGGGGGACTAAATAAATAACCAGGTCGAGCTTTCTTTCTGCTTTTTCGTGGTAAATAATGTTTAATGAAAAAAGTTTTATTTTTAGCCATTGGGATGTACATTGAAGCGTAATAGAAGAGTCAAATAGAGCGAGAGGGATAAATATTTTATGTCGGGGAATTTCATTCGTGAATAGTTAATGGTCTCGTCCTCGTTCTCCAGTCTCTTACCCCCTCGGGTTGTCTAGACTCTATATACATTTTCAAATATTATTCTCATTGTTGATTGGTAAAAATAGGGCGAGGGTAAAAAATTTTTAATGCCCCCCCAACCTCCTCCCCTCCCTCTCTTCTATTTTTAGTTATTAATTTTGGGCGAGGGTGGGGATGGGTGAAGGGGTGGGATATTATTGCGGGATTATTGAGACTTCAAACGAGGCGTCGAGAATTATTTTTGGGATATTTTGGGATTCGTCTACTATACTTTTGATTTACCGTCGAAATAACTCGGTGTTCTAATTAAGAGGGCAGAGGGTGTATGCGACGTGACAAGACACTTGCATATTTCTTAAACGTCAACTCTTCACACGAGAATAGAAATCTTTCACCCATCGCTTCACGGTTTAATTAATCAACTCTCGACAATTATAACGGGTTAAAGTAATTAACGGTGGAATCATTCATATTGCTTCGTCTGACGGTGAAAATTCGGCACTCGGCGTCTGCATCCTGATGGCTGATCATTGCATATCATTCAAATCGCGGGAATTATTGAAATGTTTATTACCCGAGAGGATTTATTGAAGTCAGACGGAATAACTCAAGAATACACCGCAAGAACAATTAATAAATTCCTTAATTAGTGAATTACTATCTAAACTATTCCATTTTTCGTTATTTTGGAGATTTGATTATTCTATTAAATTCGTTTGCAGAATATTTCGCGGATTAATTACTGCTATTATTTATGTTTAATTCAATTAATTGGAGTTTTAGTTATTTATTTTGGAGGGCTTTTTTGAGAGTAAGAAATATTTTCTCGCGGTACACATGATGACGTTTTTCTAAACGCGGAAAATCCCGGATTTCGGAAAAATCGCAAATTTATTCCTCTTTTAGTCGTATTTTTTCATTCTAACTCGCCGCAAAATCCAGAAAAAGTACTGGTCCTATTTCAGTTTCTCCTCCGTGAAATCCCCCACCCAATTGAACTGCAGTTACCTACCATTTTCAGTACACTGCAATTTTCGTATGCAATGCAAAAGCCGATGAAAATTTATTGCCGCACGGACGGGGAGAAAAATAATTTCCAAAAAAAGGGAAAAACGCAAAAACTGTTGGATCGATTGGGAACGATTTGCGTGTATTAGATATTTTATTACGATTCGCATATTTGATCCGTTCGGCTGAAGGAAATCACTTTTTTCAGCCATCGGGCATTTTCACGAAGTTTTTTCATCGAGAATTGATTGATACAAAAAAATGGTTTATTTGAATTAAAAAAAAAAGACATTCAAATAAAACAAATCCTCCATCATACTCGTTAAATAAACAATTCATTGAATTCAAATCGATTATTTTTCGTGTGAAAATCGTTTTTACAACATTAATTACATAGACAGTCGTAGATTAGATAAAAATACATAATATCAATTAATTCCCTTAATTCCCCCATGCAATACAAAAAAATTAATTCTCTCTAATTTTCTTGGGAAATTTCCATTCAAGATATTTTCCAAAATATTTATCTAAACCTCAATTTTTTCAATTCCTAAGGGATTATCGGGAATTTTTCGGTGAATCGGTAATAATCGAGAACTCTATATTAATATATTGGGCGAATGCAATTTCTTGGTTGGTATTAACGTTCGTTTGATCCCGAGCGTTTGAAATTTTCTCGTCTATTGAATCACCATGTAGAAATTCGCTATTACCCGGAGTCTTGGTCTAATAGCTAGTTTTGGTGGAAGGAGTAGGAGGACACAAGGAAGGGAAGAATGAGGAACGGTTGGGTCCGTTGAAAATGGTTTTGAGTCCTCGCCCAGTCGTTGGACCCGACCTCCCGAATAGACCCGAAGGGGAGGGCAACTACGATCGCCTCTTTGTACCTTAAATTTCATTATCGTTGCTATCTTTGTACTCCGGTACCGTAATATAATGCTGTTATCGTTGAGGCATCCCCGACTGAATAACGTCACTATAACATTTCAGTTTCTGCATATACGGCGGGTCAGATATTGCATTATATTCCCGAAAATTTATAAATTGCATATTCAATCCATTTTTATGTTGTCAATTGCCCGCAATTCTCCATAAAATCAGTGAGTACTCGGAAGGGGAATAAATCTGTGGTCATTCAATTTTTATATTAAATTCGTTTGAAATCTAGGGAATCCAAAATTATTTAGTATATTCTAGGATTTATTTATTATAGTCAGGTAATTGTCGAGGGAAACCTGAAGTTTTTGTGTTTTTCACTGCATCAGGAAAATTTTCCAATTGTTTGCGGGAATTTTAAGACAATGTCTAACGATTCCAATTAATTAATCATTGCAATCATAAAATATTATAAATTCATCCAGTTGTCATTCGAATATCAGCTGACGAAGCCTAAAATAAATAATCTAGCGCACGCCCGAAAAACTCAAAAATTTCCTCATCAAAAATTCCCCAAAAATTGCACACCAAATCCCCAAAAAATAGCTCCTTCCCCGAAAATTTTCATTTTCAAAATTCCCCAGGACGATGAGCCCGAGAAATAAATTTCCCCGAGTCATCCCCTAAAAAATAAAAATCCGCGGTCAAAACCAAAATCCCCCAGTTTCCCGGTGCAAAAAAATTTGCGTTAAAAATCAAAACATCTCGTTACGGACGTAAAAAACCCTGAAAATGGCAAATTTTCCAACATATTAATTTCTTGGCGTCGGCAATAGGCGTCTGGGGGCGGTGTCTTTGGAAGGCGGGGCCTCCCCTCATGGGGTTTCCTACACGGTGGGGGTAAACCGTCAACTAATTTCTCTGTCCCTCTCCCTCTCACATATCACTGCTTATCAGGCGCGCGCGCCTTTCTATCCCCTCCCTCTCCCACTTCTACCTCTTTCTCCCTCTACCTCTCCGCCGCTGTTGCCCCCACCCCGACGATTCTCGATATCCCGAGAAACCACGCGCGCGGTACCTCTCAGTCGCGACGCGCCCGTCACGCGCTGCACATCGGTGCTGCACGTCGCTTTCGTGTTCGGTTTGATAAACAATATTTTTCCCATTCCATTAACCTTTCTTTACCCAGTCGTCATTTATACACAAATTTACAACAAATAATCCTCGATATAAATGACCAACGATGATACGAGGGTCATTTGTTTTGGTGTAATAGTTTAAAAAATCGGTATCAATCGGTGTTAAATAAACTCCAAGGTGACTTAGGTGTTGTTTATTATTACAAATTGCGTATCAGAGACAAGTGAAACTGTTTGTTCGATAAACATTGAATGGTGTGTTGAGTGGTGTGGTATGACAATGTCACGTGTTACAGTAGCTATTGAACTCTCAGTTGGTTGATCTGAGATTATTATCTGTAGAGGTATTAAAATTTGTAATTGTCAATTATGAACTATTATGGTGAGTCAATGTACATCGGGAATATTGGACATTTGTGTTTGCAGATGAGCGAGTCACAGTGGTGAGTCACAAGTGGGTGGTGTTTGTGTTTAGAGGCCTCGAGAGAGAGACTAGAGAGAGAGAGACTATTAATTATTTAAAGGAGATTAAAATAAAATTGCAAAAACGGAGGAATCGGAGGAATTCAAGATGACGCAGCAGAGCGGGGCGGGTTCACCCCAGCAATTCTGTTTGCGATGGAACAATTATCAGACAAATCTCACTAATGTCTTTGATCAATTGCTCCAGAGTGAGTCATTTGTCGATGTAACACTGGCTTGCGACGGTCACTCAGTGAAAGCCCACAAGATGGTACTATCAGCTTGTTCACCCTATTTTCAGGCACTCTTCTTTGAAAATCCGTGTACCCATCCAATAGTCATAATGAAGGACATCAAGTGGCCAGAGTTGAAGGCAGCTGTTGAGTTCATGTACAAGGGCGAGATAAATGTCTCTCAAGAGCAGATTGGACCGTTGCTTAAAGTGGCTGAATGCCTCAAGATCAGAGGACTTGCGGATGTCAATAGTGAGCAAGAGCTTGTGTCAAGACCTAGTATGCTTGACAATTTAGCATCACTTGGTAGTGGTTCACAAAGTCGTAAAAAGCGTCGTCGTGCATCGGGTGATCGTTCACCAAGTGTTAACAGTCCTGATCAAAATTCCTGCATTATAGATGATCAGGAGGTGATCGGTTTGCCAGATGTTCACAATCTCGTGGCATCGTCTACACCGAGATCCATCGGCTCACCATCCTCAGCCCCAAGTATCTCAGTTACACCTCAAATTAATCTTCAGGAGCTTCCTGTATCGTTGCCATTGCCACCACCACAATCACAATCCAATCAGAGCGCTCACTCTGTTGGTCACCACGTGACAAGCCACGTGACAAGTGCTGGACATCCTAGTGTCAATCATCTTGGACAGCATGTGCAGGGTTTGACGGTGCAGCAGCATCAGGCACAGGCACAGCAAGCAGCTGTTGCACAGCATCAGGCGCAGCATCAGGCACAGCAGCAAGCTGCAGCAGCTGTTCAGCATCATCAACAGGCGGTCGGTAATCAGTCGACGCCAGTCGATGATCTCGAGATCAAGCCGGGGATTGCTGAGATGATTCGGGAGGAGGAAAGGGTGAGTCCGATAATTATTTCAATATTTTGGTGGTGGATCTTGCGAATGAATCGGATTAAAGATTTCGAGTCTTCAGGAACCATTCACTTCAGGATTTATAAATCCTGAAGTTGTTCTAGATTAAGAATATCATTTCAAGGTAGTTGTTATCAATATCAATTAGTGGAACGTGATGTCAATACCATTGGAGTAAAATAGTTATTTATCTGCGACTAGTCACTAGTGACTTCCTGAAAATAAGAAATCTTTTATCTGAAAATCTATCGATCAGGCAGCAGGCATTAAAAGGCAGGTGTACAACTGACTGTTGCGATCTGCATACGTTGAGGCGACACAATGCATCAACACATATGCACAACGCGAAATGAACGAATGGGAAATAGAAAGAATGTGCGTTGCGGGGGTTGGGTAAGGGGTAGCAGAAAAATTCAATCTTCCCTCGTATTATACTTTTTGGCAATAACGCCAGTGTATCGTTCGTCTGTCTGTCTTTCTCCATGTCCAGGGAATTCAGAGACGTGATACTGGGGAGAATCGGACTAGGGGAAAACAAGAGACATCTCATGCTTGGGGAGGGGGATGAAATGTCGGATTGGGGGGGTGGAAATAACGGGGAAAGAAAGGGTTGGAGAACAGTAAATTCTCAATCGGTGTAACCGAGCAGGCCATCTATCCTCGCGCAGGATGTGACTACATATTTCCTTCGTTTCGTTTAAATTAGTTCTTTCTCTTGATTTTGCTGGTGATTTTTTTTTTCTGTTTTTTTTTTTCAAATCTATGGAATATATCGGTGATATGTTGGAGCGTATGTCGGGGAAAATTCAGAAGTTCAGTCTTATCGCGAGCGCAATGAGTCAAAAGTTCAGGGGAAATGGGATGAGGGATGCGGGTAGATTGAAGTCGCGATCAATTCATGTTCACTTATTTTTTATTCCCAGAATTTTATTTTCTATGGTTATTAAATTCCAACGAATTCGCAAAGAATTCTTGAAGAACTCGGGGAAAAATATTTTTGCACACGTTCAGATTTTTGCAATAACAATTTATCGAAGATTCATTTTTTAATCTGCAACAGTTAAAAAATGTTTATAATTACTTTTAATTATGAATATTTAAAAATTAAATACTCGGAAGTGGAATTTTTTTTCTCTTTGGAGGATTTTTAGGGAGATGTCGAAAAGTTGAAAATATTTCTACTTCTATTTTAAATTGGTTATTCCTGAATTTGGGAGGCTATTCTTTCGGTGAAAGGTAAACTGAAATGTCCCGAAGGACTTTACGAAATTACTACCCTCGCTGATCTTTTTTATTATCCACCTTTCCGCTATTTTCTGGTTGTGATGATCACCTCCACTTTCTCGACTAATTTTTTCTTTTTTTACTGGAATTACAAGGAATTCCGGCCTATTTTGGCGAACGCAACGTAATAGTTTAAATATTTCGAAAATTGGTGGTACCGGGAAGACTTTAACTGTCGGGTGAAATTCCCGCTATAAAAATGAGTCAGAGGAATGAAATTTGTTTGATGAAATAATACACGAGTTTTATCGATTAATTTTGCTGAATTTTTCAAGGACGAGAGCCTCGATAAATCATTATTTCACTCCTCTCGACCCACTTTTATGCCTCGTAGATTTTCGAGTGCTAGAATTGACGCGTGTACCTCATAAAAAAAACTCTTTGAAAGTAGAAAAAAATGGAGAAAAATTTCTCCGTTATCTCGCGAGTGTCTCGAACGTGCTAATTCGTCGAGAGTTATTTAATTGCATTCGTCTGGGATGTGCCCGTTAAATGTATATAATTTGAATTTACATTAAAATCGGTAAATATGATGAATAACGTTTGGAATACGAATAAAGAGCGTCTGGAGGGGACATTAACTTTATTGAATACCGAATGGACATAAAAATTATGCCGACGGATCATACATATATATATATGTATTAATTCCTTTATTTATTATCGTATTCGCGATATTTCTAGTCCGTTTGAAAGACTCGCGCGTCAAAAAAAATTAACAGCTGATTACCCTGAATTATTATTTTCCGATAAAATTTTAATTAATCCTCTTATTAAATAATCATGAAAATTTGTCTGGAGAAATCATTAAGCTGATTAATCAATAGATAATGACACGTCAATACGTATTGTTGAAAATTTATCCCGGCAACTATGAAATCGATCGATTTAATGCTTCCGCGAGCGGCAACTCGATACCCGAAGGGAATTGGTCGAGGTCACTTAGTGAGTCTTCGGTACCCCGACAGCACCCGATCCCTCTTACCAATCGCCATGAGGGGAGTTGGGGGGGTGGGTGGGTGGTTGAAGTGGGTGGCGAGGGGTGAGAGGGAGCGGCCAAACGCGATAAAAGATGCAAAAC